AGCTCAAATCATTGTATAAGAGACAATCGGTTTACACAAGGAATAATTTGAACGATTTGGGGGTAAGAGCAAAAATAATGTCGAAGATGTGAATTAAACCTCACAATGAAAGAAGTTCGAACCACAGGGAAATCGTGGTTTCCCTCCTCGACCCGTAAACCAGCAACAAGAGACTCAATTAAAAAAAAAAAATATACACCAATCAACATGTCACATGTTAACATCCTAATGATTACAGGGATTAAAGTCCATCAAGTGGCCAAGGTCTTTAAAAAAACCAGATGGTGGAGACTAGTCTCAATATTATCATTTCCACTGCACAAAAAAGGCATTTAACAGAAAGATGCTTTAACTTGGTGGAATAAATTGAATGTCTGGTATGTCAAGGTCACTTGAGTCGCTACTTCGAAGAATGAGGTGAGGAGAATCAAAATAAAATTGTCAAGATTATTCAGTGAGAAGTACAACTACAAATTATCTTATTTGAGTAAAACATTTTTTACTTTCATCATAGCAAATAATTTCCTAATTTTATTTCCAACTAGATTTTCCTTATTGGTTTAAAAAAAGTTTTTCAATGAAATTTTCTTTATTATCAATAAAGTTTCCTTCATTCTGTCACGAAAGATTTTGTTAGTAAAATCTCTTTTAAGAGCAAGTGACAGACCATGTTTCCACCCATACCACTAGAAGATGAGCCCGAGAGGCAAGTCTCAATGGGAAGCTAGTAGTGGATATATTCCTTAAAATAAAATCTCCCTGAGGACAGGTGATAGATAAGACCTCCATCCATACCCCTAGAAGTCGAGCCCAAGAGATAGGTTTGATGGGAAGTTATGGTAGCTATAGAAGGCAATCCCAAGTGGCAAGCCTCGATGGGAAGCTACCACGGCCCTAAAAGATGAGCCCGGGATGCAAGTTTTCATGGTAAGTTGGTAGTGGACAAGGTCCTCACGAGAAAGACTTCCTGAGAGCAAGTAGTTGACATAAGGTCTCCACTCAAATACCTCAGAAGGCTATAAGCATTAAAATGTACATACATGTTAAAGTCCTTGGAAGCATATAAGCCTGAGAAGACATAAATACATCAAAGACCTCAGAAGGTTATAAGCCTCAGAAGGCACATGTGCATTACAAGCCTCCATAAGGCATAAGGCTCAAAAAGAACAAACCTAAAAAGGTAAAAGCCTAAGAAGGCACAAACATTAGAAGGCATGAGCTGCAAAAGTTACACAATTTTTCTTTATACAAACCATATGTGCTAGCTTTGATTGCAGACTTCTGTACATTTGAAAATCTAGAGAGTCTCAAAAGATATAAGCCTCAGAAGAACATGATTCCACCATGCACATGCCCACGAGATGGAGGCAACAATAGTTTGAAGGCACCTAGAACACACTAAAAGTGGAGCAGTGACAACCCAGAAGGTTGGCGACAACATCCAAAAATTGGGCAACAAAACTCCAGAAGTGGAGAAAAAGCATCGCAGAAGAGGAGCAACAAAAGCTCGGAAGGAAAGACAAAAGAAACCTCAAAAACAACGACGAAATTTTTACTACATCAAGCAAAAAAAAGACTTATAAACAAACATATGATCATCGTGTCCAAATTCCACATCAAGCGATTTAAAGGCTGCAAAGACCAACACACACCAGGGGACGAGATTCTCTAGAAATCATCACAGCAACACGGGAAATCTCCTCTGAAAAGTGTGATAGCTGTGAAAAATCTCTTACAAAAATCACTGCAACAAAATAGAAAATTTCCTTTAGAAAACACGACAGCAATGCGAAAGAGGAGTCTTATTGATCGCCTGCTAGCAAGCCAGGAGACTACTTTTTTTTTTCTAAATATCATGTTAATCGCCTATTAGCAGGTCATGAACTCCACATTTTTTTTTTCTAGAGATTCTGTTGATCGCCTGCTAGGAGGTCAGAGCACTCCACCTTTTTTCTTCTAAAGATCCTATTGCTCGCTCATTAGCAAACTGAGGGACTCCACCTTTTTTCTTCTAAAGTCTCGTTGATCTTATGCTAGCAGGTCGAGGGACTCTACCTTCTTCCTCCTCTTTGTGGCCTATTTATAGGCTCAAAATGACCCAAAATAAAAAAAGAAAAAAAAACCTTAAAAAAATGTCCAAAAATGACCAGAATCTGTGTGTTTTCACAGCAACCTACCAGAAGCACCCAATTTTGCGTAATCAGATCTATGTGATTTCGAACCACATATCATGATTGACGTGAAATCCCAACACTTGGCCCAGATCATGCGAACCACGCGACATAGGACCTTTGCATGCAGCGCGAGGGCATCACACAACCGCTTGGCATGAACTCAATTTTCTGGCTATACTTCTAGCCTGCTCTGTTGCCCATCGCCCGCTCCCGACCTAACTAGTGGGGCTCGACCACCCCGCCTGCTTGCAATTTTTTTTTTCTAAAATATTCAAACATCCCATGGATCAAACCCGTACCACAGAGAGGAGACACACCCTCTTTGCCAACCAAGCCAGTGCACATTCACATTAATATGCATATATAT